TGACTCCATGCCAAAGTGTCACTGACTCAAGCCATGTTCAGCAGAATCAAAGGCTCTGGAAGAAGGCCTTGAAAGTTGTTGGTATAAAGCTATGACGATGAATCCTAAGTTGTAGTAGGAATGCCACCACATTGAATATAATAGACCCAGGAGATGTTCACTGAAGAATGCTGAAGGCACTGAGTGGATATGGCTTAAGAGAGAGGCTATGAATGCTTCAAGCAGAAATGCTAGGAAGCTATACTTCTGAAGCCATTTGGTGCCCCAATGATTTCTTCTAGATACTGGATATTGACCTGCAACTTCCTATTTCCTTTGCTGAGTTTCATTATTGATTTGCTTAGATATTTACATGCTACGTTGCATTCCTCCCTTTTAGAATGGGATGTTTTGTTCAGTGCCATTCTATGTTAGAACTATTTAATTTTTTTATAAGAGCTCCCCATAAAGAGACTGCCTTGAGTTTCATAAGATTTAGACTTTTAAACATTGTAGAAAATGTTAAAATAAAAACAAAACCTTATGGGGTTTTAAAAACTGGACTTAATAAATTTTGCACTATGAGATGGATATGAGACTCTGGGACAATGATTGGAAAGTTAGTGCTGAATAGTTATATGGTTGAATGTTAAGTTGAGAGGAGGTAGAGTTGTTATTTGTTAATGATAATACTGATCATCAAAGTGAATTGATCTCAAATCACTTATGAGATAAGCATCTGGGATTGGCAATGAGTGATCTATTAGATTGGTTTACCAGAAATGGAAAGTATTACTCTAAATGTGGCCAGGGCTCTGGATTAAATAAAAGGGAGAAAGCAAGCATGAACACTAGCTTTTGTCTTTCTCTTCTCCTGACCATGGATGTAATATGTCCAAATATATTGTGTCTCTCCATGACTTCTCTGCATTAATGGTCTATACACTACCCTTTGGAATGGTCAGAGACTATATAACTTACACTACTATCCTGCATCCATCCCTCTTTCCCCAAGGGAACACACAGAGGTATGTAGGCAATGATAGCTCAACTAGAGCTCTTGAGCAGTATGCAAAGGAATAAAGATGACTTCAAATTGTGTCCTACTGGTTTTACAAAATATGTATGAGAAGCATGTATGTTTAACATGGTTCTCAAAAACATGCTCAGCAGCAGCATGGCAGAAGCCTTTCCCTTATAGAATGAATTTTCATGCAAATAAAGAAGAGCTTGCCTGGGTGGTGACAATTGAGGGACAGCTGGTGGTCTGGCCGACCCAACTACCAAACAGGCCAAGAAACAGGGCTATGAACTGAACCACTCAAACATCTACTGAATCTATGGACTGTTGGAACATGTAAAGGAGACAAGTCTACAGACACAAAGCTTCAAGATCTCCATGACACAAGCAACAACAGGATATCCAAAAGGAGCCCCAGTGAGAGCCCATTAATGAGGGTGTAGCAGAAACCACAGGTCTCTCCAGCCAGACCAATGTTCCAGGCAACAAACACTTGCAAGTAAAGATGAATAAATTAAAGGGTAAATTGTGGGTCTCAACAGGCTACATTACAGGTTTCAAGACAAGATTCTTCCCCTTTTCCTGTTTTGATTGGTTTTTGGTTTTTCTTTTAAATGTGGTTTTGATTTGGGAGGGAGGTTTCAAGGGCAGGGGTGGATGTGTGGGGATGGCAGATAGGTGGGATCAGAATGCACGGTGTGAAATTCACAAAGAATTAAAGGAGAACAACAAGAACAAGAAGAAGACAGTCTAGGGATGTGGAAAGGGAAAAGAAAAGAGTATATAAAAGAATGAGAAGTACAAGAGATAATATAAAATTTTGAAAATAAAAAACAAAGAGGAAAACAATTACAATGATTCTTTCTGTATAAACATCTCAACTTTCCTTTTTCTTTCCTAAAAGGAAATTGTTTTCTAGATACAAAGATTTGAATAACTGTCCTCTAGACTGCAATCCACCAAATTTTAGGGGATTATTATCAGATTAGTATCTCATGTCTATTTTGGTTTTAAGATTACATATATAATATAAATATGATGTGTTATGTAGCAAATATGCTGAATTAACTAGTTATAACTTAGAGACCATAGGCACTATGTGATTTGAGGTAACAAGAATGAGTACTCACATACCTTTTTGACAAGCATAACTTGAAAATCTAATAATCATAATAATCAGCATGCTATTTTTCAAGTACTTCATGTTGAGTGCAGGAATATATACATGACTTTATATTTCACTTTGATTTAAGCAAATGCTCATTTTATTTCATTGTTATTTGCTGAATATGTTATAGCATATTTGTTTCAGTGCTAAATAAAAAAAGGTGGCTTATGGTGAAAGGTGATTTTAGATAAAGAAAACAAGCATGCTAGCAAGTGTTCCAATTTTGCTTATTCAAAATATTTAGAGTTATTACAATGTTAGTTATAGCAATATGCTTTTGAGTATCTTACATTCCTTAAATATATTATCCCCACAATAATTTATGTTATTGAATACTATTAGCACTTTCTTCTATTTTTTTGTGTGGAGATTAAACTCCCATGGTTATAAAATGTCATCTGATGGCCATTGAGATGACTCCTCTAGTAAAGGTACTTGTTGCTAAGTCTAAGAACTGTGGGACCCTTGAAACTTACATAGTAGAATGAGAAAACAATAGCTTTCTTTCTGTTGTTCACATGTCAGACACCAGCGATCACACACACACACACACACACACACACACACACACACACACACACACACACACACACACACCACTAAGATGCAATAAAATGTCACTGGAGCATGAAAATCAATGTGATATGTGTTTGTATAATTAATCTATCCATTCACTAAACTGAATGCATATATTTGTAGTGTTAAATAATACAACTGAAATTAAGATGGTGGAAATTTACAAGACCATCATATATGTTGTGTAGTTTTTCGGAATAAAACTTATTTAAACATCAGCTTGGAAAATAGTCAAATTTCACATTCACTTTTAAAGTAAAAATATCAATAAAGTTCTTATTTAATAAGTTCAACAAATATATGTAGTTTTAGAAGATAGCAGTACATGATAAAATGATGCAGAATATGATAATAAGGTCTTGGGCTTCTGATAAGTTATTGTAAAATGCAAATGTCACTATATTAACAAAGCTATTAATAAATGTTCCATTTTGTTTCTAAAACATTCATTTGTCTTCCTGCAGTAAACAATGATACTAGAAAACCATGGCATTGGCTTGTAGACAACATATCCATTTACCCAGATTAATCAGAATTTATAACTACAAATATCTTATAAACAGAATTAGCTACTAGGCTCACCTGCAGCTGCTATTTAGATATGAAAACACAGTTCTTATTCTAACTAATTTGGTTAATTTGGAGTCAATTTGACTGGGATAAAGAACACTGGGAAACATTTCTGCCTGTATATATGAAGATGTTTTGAAAGTGATTAATATCTTAATGAGCAAAAAGGCCCTCCTTTATGAAAGCACATAAACTAGAAAGATGAATTCACTATCTAGAATGAGCTTGGATGGTTGTCTGTCTTCCTTTATCCTCAGTCACTGTGGTTCATGGGACCTTTTGACTTAACAGCTTACACGGATGAATACTTTCTCAGTCTTTGTATTCAGAGGTTAGACTGAGAGTGAGAAATTATCTCCTTGGATTCTCAGGCTTTAAGACTTGAACTGAATTCCACCAGTGCCTTTCTTATAAACTATATTTTAGATAATTTGGAAAACTAGAGTATTTGAAATAGCATTAGCAATTTCAAGTATAAATGAATATTTCATGGAAATATTGTTATGAAATTTTGTTATATAATTATCAGTTTTACAGTGAATTCTAGAGTGTTACTAAGAAATATAACTCAATAAACTCAATAAATTTATTAATGAACTTTATGAATTAAAATAAGAAAGAATAAATTATAGTATATAAAATATATTTTCTCAGAAACTTGTGGTGACAATTCTATCAGAATAAAATGAAAACTTTACCTATGAAATTAAGGATTGATTGTAAAACACACGACAAGCAAATAGTCAATCAAAAAAGAAGACTTTACTCTGCACAGTTCTGTTAGTTTTAAGATCACTTGTTTAATGAATAATATTTGATAAAAAATTCTAAAAACAAGTACATTTCAAGGTAAATTTTTCCCATTAGATTCATATTTGAAGTTATAATTATGGAACAAATGTAAAACAATATCAGAAGAGAACTGATGAATGAAAATATTTGTAGGAGAAAAAGAAAAGCAATTAAACTCTTGAAACATTTAGCTGTATACATTACATAATTTTATGTTTCAATACTAACAGAATCAGAGTAAAAGCCTTATACATCACCATTTTAGCTTAGCATAATAAGAAAATGAAGTAGAAACACACTGGAATGTAGATATTATATAAAACAAACTGAAATATATAAAAATTCAATAATAATCACAGCTAAAATATTGATACCTAGGATATGATATAATTTTATGGATTTTACATGTGACTAAGCCTTTAGAAGAAACTTTCAAGATTGCAGAAAGGTAGGCACGATGTATTACCTCACCAAGGTCCAAAGCACTTCTGTGGTAACTAGCATTTTTTATTAACAGGTAGAGTGCTAGTATTTATTCAGTCTAAATATGATAGATTTTGTGTACTCACAGACCCCTTTTAAATTACCATATTTAACCCGTATACAGAACTATAAACATCATAGAATTATATAATAACATATAAATTTATTTTAAGGAAAATTCTTAATGTGTATACATATCTAATAACTATGCCTCAGATTATTAATTAAAATACAAGAGTATTTATACACTGTTCCTATTTATTACTCATTCAATTAGCTTTTAATCTTTTCTGTATGACTTAGGTTATATGTAAAAATCACACAAATCTTTGGTTGCTTTAACTTTCATAGATAAACCTACAAATACAAGATGAATGGTAACTTGAAAACTTTAATGATATTTAAACTTACCCCATTTAATGGATATGTTTTCCATCCTAGCTCTCCCATCACAGTAGTTGTATCAAGCAACACAACTGGAATTAAATAGAGAAAACACAAATGAGTTTCTCAACCAATGCAAAAAATATATCAACATTAGTTACATCATTATTATCAAACGTTCTTATTGTGCCTTCATCACAGTAGCTTTAACAGTACTGTTTCTTTGAAATTACTTACATTAGCCTTTTATAATTCTTTAAGATAAGAAACATAAAATGGTCAACAATTAATGCAAAAATATTGCACATATGTTTAATAATCCTAAGTGACAATGATAATTAAGTAACAGGGTCATTTTTAATACCATAGATTTTTCAATTTAATGAAATATACCACACACTGTTGATTCTCTAACTTTCAGGCATAGTATATTAGAGAAATATAACACCAGCCTCTGTGCATTGTTGTTTCTATTAAAACCTTACATAAAAATTAGCAAGAAATGAATATAATTTTTAATAAATCATAGCCTTCAAAGCATAGGATACCTAAGTAAAGTTAACATACCAATTGTTGATTGAAAACACAAATACAAGACAATTTAATACAATGAATTTTTCCTGTAACCAAAGATAACCCATAATCTGGAAAATGAAAACAAGCCCCCAAAACAATCCCTCCCAAGACAAGTCTCCACTGAAAGATGAGGTAAGGAACTGCGGTGAGAGTTCTCTAAAGAAGAAGAGTAAAGACCTAATAGCTATTTAATAGACATAGCAAATAGGAAGGTGGAGATGGAAACTACTATAAATTTGTTATCTCATGTCTCTCAGCATTGTAATCATCATTAACACAGATGACCACAAACACTAGCTGGAAGTGGTAAAGCTCATGCCCTATACATTGTTGACAGATACAAGCGATCTGATCAAATAAAGAGGATTGAGGTGCTCTCTAGGGATGAGGGATGGAGGTAAACATAGAAGAGGGAGAAGGTTTGGAGGAAGGCAGGGTACAACTGACCTGATACAGCAATGGGAAATGGAGATTCTTTGTACAAAAGCAATGAGATAAATGCAGAAGGCGAGGAGTTTGGAGGGCAGGAAGGAAAATAATATTAAGAGTGTCTCAAAAATCACCAGAAATTATCTTATTAACTATATGATAAAACTTACAATACACACAATTATATATATATGTATATATATGCATATTTATTATTTATATGAACTTCTCTCATTTTGGCTGAGATACCACAAAAAGACAAAGACCATTTAGCAAAAACCTCAATACCAGACATAAGAAGTCTTTTCAATAGTTGCCCAAAACAATGTAATGGAGTTTGGTGGGGGATATCCTTCTGTATTTGGATATTTCTATTATTGGTTGGTAAAATAAACACTTATTGGCCAGTAGAAGCAGGAAGATAGGCAGGGCTAGGAGTCTAGGAAGATTCTGGTGGAGGAAGGCAGAGGGGCAGGGTTGCAAAGAGACACCATGTTGCCCAAGAAGTAACATGCGTGATTGCAGGTAAGCCACAGACCATGGCAATATGTAGGTTAATAGAAATGGGTTAGTAATTAAGACAGAGCTAGCCAATAAGAAGCCTAAGCCATAAGTCAACAGTTTTATAATTAATATGTCTCTGTGTGCTTATTTGAGGCTGAAGGGTGGCAGGACCTGGCAGGATGGAAACTTCCTTCTCCTGGAGTCCCAAACCATATAGCCTTTTATTGTTGCCTTGTTTGCCTCTCCACAGGTTGAAGGCAAGTCCTTAATACTGAAGACACCATGCATTTCAAACACAGAGCTTAGAGGACCCTGAGCATGAACTGACATAAATGGCCCCTCCCTGAGGACTAGCTTTTATAGTACCAAAGGTACCACACAAACTTCCAATGGATGGGAAAAACAAAAACCCTAACCAGATATGACACAGGTGGACCACAACAATCAGCATAACACAATGATCATAAGCAGACAGTCTGCATACTTGGGGATTACCAATCTCTCTCTAATTGGATTTAAGACTTGCTCAACAAGGAGGAGATCATGTCAGGTACTGAAAAACCTACATAATTGTTTAGTGCTACTGAAATTATGGATGTTGTAGAACCTACAATTGCAATTACTAAACCAGCATAACACCTAACAACAATCTAAGCATTTGTCTTTATATCCCTATAAATCATCAAATAAATTTCTCTTTGCAATAGTTGGAGACCTTTACAGAAAACCACAAGCAAACTTCTATTTGCAATAGTTGCAGACTATAACAAAAAACCACCACCATTCAAATGCAGAGCCGCACAATGGATATATCTACAAAAAAACACCTGTACCCAAGGCCCAGGGAATCTTGCAGAAAAGGGGACAGGAAGATTATAAGAGCCAGAGGAGCAGACAATATAATATGAAATTGTGTTATCTAGTAATGTCAGAAGCTACACCTATAAAGGTTCAACATGTTTGCCTGAACATGTAATGAACATGGGCAACACCAATTAGCATGCCATATTGGACATGGGTAAGCCCACTAGGACTCAGCCTTACACAAAGAACTGCAGGAAATTAAGGGAAGAGCACACCAATGGGTTATCTACTATTGAATTGTCAGGCATGAAAACATGCATATAAGTAATATCATATAGATTCAGCAGGGAATATTTAGGAATTTGTGTGTATATACACATAAATACATATCTTAACAATATAAATGTAATCATGGAATAAGCGAAAAGTAAGAATTTGAATTTAATGGAGAGCAAACAAGGATACAGAGGAGGGTTTGTGTAGTGACACTGTTACATAAAAAATGTAACTAAAGAAAAGCAAAAGGAAAAACAAGGCAGATAAAGTTCAACTGATGAGAGTCTTTGTAATGTTTCCACCATAGCTGATTTAAGGTCAGGTTTGAGGCAACTTTGATAGTCATAAACCTCATGCAGTAATGGACTTTCCACACGTACTCCCTACCATAAGGGTCCAACTAATTAATTGTTATTGTTAAGTGTTGAATTCAAATATCATTTTCTGTCTGGGAACCCTCACCAACTTAGAACTATGTGTATTACTCACTGGCTGGTCAATGTGACCTTCCTAGCCTGAGAAAAACAACGTGACTTATCTTGTGTTATGAGAGTGGGTTTGGCACTGGAAATGTAACATATAATTGCCCGGTTTGGCTGTGAGGAGAGGCAGCTGTGAAGAGCTATGTAGAGGAACCAGAGAGATTTTCAAAGAGGAAGTTTTTTTCAAGATGAAGCAAAAGAGAAAGTAACCATGAGAAGGCATATATATGTGTTTCCTTATATATATATATATATATACACACACCCTGGTGCTGACCGAAGGGTGACCTCCCATTTTTCGATAAAATTCAACCATTATATACTCACTCCCTAAATTTTTGCTTGCTAATATATTGCTAACTTTTTTTTCAAATTTTTATTTGAATTAGAAACAGGATTGTTTTACATGACAATCCCAGTTCCCTTCTCCCACCGTCCTTCCCTACCCCCCCAATTAAAACCTTATCAGTCACATATCTTTTCTGCTTCCCCTGGATGGTGAGGCCTTCCATAGGGTGTCACCAGAGTCTTTTGTATCCTCTGAGATAGGGCCTAGGCTCACTCCCGTGTGTCTAGGCTCAGGGAGTATTCCTCTATATGGAATGGGCTCCCAAAGTCAATACCTATTCTAGGGATAAATACTGGGCTTCTACAGGAGGTTCCATAGATTTCTGAGGTTTCCTCACAGAAACTCATGTTCCTGGGGTCTGGATCAGTCCCATGCTGGTATTCCAGCTATCAGACAGGGGAGCAAGAGTCCCCGGATGTTCAGGTCAGCTGTTTCTGTGGGTTTCACCAGTCTGGTCTGGAACCCTATGCCCATCGCTCATTCTTCTCTGCAAATGGATTCCAGTTCAGTTCAGCGATTAGCCTTGGGTGTCTGCTTCTACTTCCACCAGCTGCTGGATGAAGGCATATAAGTCAGTCATCAATCTCATAATCAGGGGAGGGCATTTAAGGTAGCCTCCCCTCCATTGCTGAGATAGTTAGCTGGTGTCATCTTTGTAGATCTCCAGACATTTCCCTAGTATCTGATTTCTCTGTAAACCAAAAATATCTTCCTCTATTATGGTATCTCCATTCTTGTTATCGTGTGTTCTTCCCCTGACTCATACTTTCTGCTCCCTTGTGTCCTCGGCATCCCTCTTCTTCTCCCCTTCTCACATTCTCCTAGCTCCCTCCCCCCTCTTCCCGTGCTAACTTTGTTTTCGATGTATTTGTTTACCTACTCTCCCACTAAACATAAGACAACCAAAAAACACCGCCCTCAAACCTCCCATTACTCTTTCCAATTTATATGTATTGAAGTGTTTTATTTTCATTAAATTTATCTTTCAAAATGCTCATTTATAATGAATTGTGATGACCCACCTCCCATCCAATGTATCATGGCTGCAATCAAGGTAGAGAATATTGTCATTGTAATCTCAGTATTCCTTGTGACCCTGTGTAATGAATCACTTTCCCATTCTGTCCCATGGCACACATTATCTGGTTTCTGTCTCAACAATTTTAAAATTTCCAGGATATAACTGTAGATATCACACGATGTCTATGCTTTTGAGCCTGTTTTTCTTACTTGGCATCATGGTGTTGGCAATCATGTTTGATGCTTCACAAGTCAATAAATCTGCTTCTTTTCATGGCTAGTAACTAAGTTTTCTACCAAAAAGCATTTATACCTAATGGACATATGCACTTTTTACAGTTGAGGAGGACATTATTAAGCCAGTTTAATTTTCATGTAATTTCTTTTTTTCAGGGAAAACAATTAGGATTTCTTGTTAAGAGTAAAATTGTACATATCCTATGGAAAATCTTATTGCTTTCTATTTCTCCACATGACAGGTCCTTAGATTGTCCTGCTAGTCTACACCATCTGATACATGTGTCATTGTCATTGCACTCCTTTGTCAATTTAAAGGCCATTTACAATAATGATGAAAAAAGTTATCTTTTTTACTACCTCAGAATGATTCTCCAGCAGAAAAAATATTGCTTTCTACATGCTAAATTTTCCT